TCATCAAAAACGCCCGGTCCCCTACTGTTCTCGTGGGACACAGAGGTGTTTCAAGTCCAGCTGAGGGACAGAGCATGTCTGGGGTCTCCTCCCGGATGGACCGAGACATCTCAGCTAGCTTCCCTCAAAGAGGAGCAGCAGCAGGTCAGATCTTTCCTTCTCACCGATCGATAGATCTATCGCCTGCTGAGCTCGACTGCATCCTGACATGTATCATCTAGTTTACTCGCTGAATGATGCAGCATTTGTGTTCCTAATGAGCCTGACGGAGGTCAAAGGTCACTCACAGGTGCTGCCGTGGGTGGAGGCGATGGCTTCGTACTTTCCGCTCCACGTGGTCACTAGCACTGTGTAGAGTCTGCCGGGCACCAGGCCGGTGAACACACAGTTGTGCTCCGTCTTTGGAACCGTCTTGTTTTGCAGGAAGACGTTGTTGTGCTTGATGAACACCTGATACAGGTCGAAGTCTCCAGCAGCGTGACGCCAATACACCTTCAGGTAGCTGTCCGAGGCATTGTGGGTCGCCGTGGGGCTCTGGACCTTCGACGGCTCTGATGGAGGATAATCAGACAAGACCGATGATAGTTTACGGTGTTTTGTGTAAAAAAGCTACAGCAGGTACAGAGCCAGGTGTGTACAGACCTGGACGAGCACATGTTGGCATCACTTTTGCTAACACTTACAAACTGAGTTAATTGTTCTAAAGTGCCGACTTCACTGGAACATGGTTTAATGTGAGTGGTGTACATACGTGTCCTCTCCTGGATGAAAGTCTGGTTTTTGTAGAGACCGCTGCAGGTAGTGATGGAGATGTTGTAGAGGCGTCCAGACACCAGCGAGTCGAAAACGCACGTCGGGGTCGACTTGGGCACGGTGAGGGTGTGAATGGTCCTCTCCCGGTCACTCAGGGTCACCAGGTATCTGTCCACCTCACCTACAGCCTGACTCCAAGACACGCTGAGGAAGTCCATGCGCCCGTTGTTGCTGACCCTGACGTCGCTCACCGCCGCCGGCACTGAGGGGGTAGGAAGAGGGCGGAGTCAGAGTAAACACACAAGCACACTCGTTTTCGTACCTTAGCTTACCCTAACCATAACCTAACTGTGACACTAAAAGCACATTTTGAGTCTCAAAAACATCTTCAAACTCGTGGGGACGGCGGTTCCCACTGCTGGAGCATCAGAACAAAGACTAATAACAGTGTCAGTTAAAGCCCAGTGAATAAAAATGGGTTTTTAACCTGGATTTAAAGACCACCACTGAGGTAGACTGCCTGATGTGAAGAGGAAGATCATCCCAAAGCTTCGGGGACACAGTAGAGGACACTCGATCTCCTCTAAGTTTCAGCGTTAGGAACTTTGCGTTAGCACTCAAAGAACTCATGCAGATGAGCATGTTTCCGGCTGCTTCTGCCAAAGTCTGTTTATTTTGATCCGTTTCACAGATGAAATCGTGACTGCTCTGCACGCTCTGTATGTTATGTGACCTTCATAAAGTCCTCTGCAAGTTCTACAACGGCTGCCAGCACTGGTGAAGAACAATGAAGCTCCGCCCTGACGGGAAGTCTCTCTGTCGTCAG